ACATAAATACCACAAAAGAGGTGCTTCTGCACATCTTTCACATTTCCAGTGTTTCAAAAGCGATTCTCATCATGGACAGAGAAGGGACGAGGGGAAATAATTGGCCATCGAGTGGATCGACTTTTGTTATAGAAATTTAACTCATGGAATCACAATTCTACCATTTTAGCTGTAGAAATGGTACAAACAGTTATCCAGGAGTACAGTGTGAGCACATGAACACAGAATAACAGTTCAGAAGTAGAATGGGACTTGTGCTGTAACCTTGTTCATTGATGCTGCCCCTCTGTGATTCCCATGAAGTTGACAGAGCAAATGTCAATGGAATATCGTCATTTTTGTGATGTACTTAGTTTCTGTTTACCTTGGAACAAGTAAGCCAACAGTGGGCGTGCACAGACCAATAACCGGACAGCGCCGTGAGGACGTGAACGATCCCGATGGCAGCGAGAGCCAGAAGGCCTGCCTCCGGATACTCCGACGCACCGTACACCCCCAGCCACACGTACAACCAGCCCGGGTAGAGGACCGTCAGGAACGGGAAGACGGTGCCGTGTAAGAGCCGCGGCCTTCGCCTGTAGAGCGTCACTGAGCTCACCAGCTCGTCGCCGGTGCTATTGTCATGCTGATTGTGGCTCAGCGAGGGGGCTGTTCGTAGCTCGCCCGATCCATCGACGCCGTCCGCGGTCATTTCGTCCTCTTTTTTGGCGTTGTTCATCGTACACTGCTCACCCCCTGGGCCTCTCTGTTATCCACCACCGCCCCGTCGCGGTGATGCCGGCAAAACGCGATCCTACACACGAAACGCCGCGGCGCGGACACCCGCAGCTGCTCTTCTTGTTTTATGTTGAGAGGGAAGAAATTTCATCTGTGCTGTTTGTTACACATACGTACAGCGCATTTGACAATAAAGTTGTGTTCAAGTCAATTCAGTTCAAAACGTTCCCCAGTACTACCTTCAAGTGCCCAATTTCTCTCTATGGTCCCTCTTCATCAACGATCGTTTCCGCATACGTCAGCCCGTAAGATGCGTACGCATGCCTTGATGAGTAAACCGTGGAAAACAAACTGTTCCGCCCTTTCATACAGGCGCACTTTACGAATGAACATCTTCGCACAAATATGAACCATTTTCATGAGAAAAACGACATGTTTGGTTATGAGCCAAATATCAAATTAGTGCTGTGTTTTTAAACTTCCGTTCAACTAGGGTAGTCAGTTGCATGACTGACATCAAATCAACCAGTAGGATTTGAGATGATGTGTTCTAGCTGGGTTTCTGTCCAATCACAGGGAATACTTCCTGGTTTCCATCCAATGGGATTCTAAGTAGGCGTGTCTTCACGGCATTTTCATGGCGCCACATGGAGAAGGGTAACCTTGACTGATCAGCGTCATCGCTTCAAACGAGCATAAAATAGCAAAATGTAAGAATATTTATTGCTTCCGTGTACATCAAATTGTATTGTAGAGATATTGTTAAATATATAGAGAGCAAACATTTACTTTAATGTTGCATGCCTGTTGAGTAATAGCCCTATTTGAGGTGTGTTTTTATGTTGCAAAACCTTTGCAACTAACTTAAGCTATATTATTTCCAATGACGTGACAGTGCTGCATGTGTTTCCACTCAGGCAAGCGGCTATGGACATCACGGCAAAGTATTGCCATAAGGAAATGGATGCCTATGGGTCATGTGTGGCCTCCAACCCATCAATCTGGCAGGAGAAGTGCCATGAACTGAAGATGAAGGTTGCCCAATGCACATCATCACAGTAAGGCATGTGTATTCAACACATATGACCCCCAAATTGCACACTTGTTTCGCGTATCCTACCTATGTCTACATCTGTCACGCTAGCCCAGTGATCCAGAAGATCAGACAAGACTGTTCCAAGCAGTTTATGGAGTTCGAGAAGTGTCTGAGGGAAAACCAGAGCACGCCTGCCTCCTGTTCAGCGCACGTCACTCGCTTTCTAGGCTGTGCTGAGACGGTGGATCTCAGTGGAGTGGGTAAGCCAGTTAAAAAACACGAAAAGGCAAACTGTTGAAAGATAGGAAAGGGCTAAAAGTGGGCAGAGTAGCAAAAACTGTACTCAAGAAAAAAGGACAATTATTTATAAAGAATAATACAACTCAAGTTAAATAAAAAAGTACTTTGCCATACACTTACTTTTGGAAGAATATGTACTACCCACCTCTAGATGAGAAATGTCAATGCTCTTTAAAAAAGTAATTCTGTAACTTGCAACCTGTGTGGTTTAGTGCAGTGTTTCCCAACCTTTATTGAGCCAAGGGACCCCTTTTACTTGAACCAGTCTCACAGCACCACTAAATAAATATTTCACAAAACGTATGGAAAGTCAAATAATGATGTCGTCTGAATTTACTCACAGATGTAGTTTGTTGGGAAACGATGGTGTAGTGCACTACTTGGCTACAACAAACAGAGGCGCTGTTGATTCACTCTTACTCTCAATTGCAGTCGATGCCAGCTCTGGGTTAGACTTTGGGCATAACACCCAAACTCAAAACATACGTGGGGACAGTCGTAAACGGAAGACCCTTCTACTACTTTAATCCAATGACTATTGCTGCATGACTAATTCATATATTGTTGTATTCCTTTTTTTTCCCCCCTAGATACAAAACCAGTACCTGTGCCGTCGTAACATTGAACCATCTATTTCAACACTTATCCAAAAGCAAAAATTGTTTTGTTTTCTTCGACTTGAGACAGTAATTATTTTCCTACTTTCAAATCAGACATGACTTGTACCTACTGCCAGGCTGCGTAGACAAAAATAAATGTGACACACCTCTACGCTGTATTTCATTAAAACTAAGGTATGTCTTACTCAACCAGTGGAGGTTTCCTTCTTTTGTTTTCAGCTCCATATATCTGCCCGCCGTCATCATCTACCGTGCTGAGTCAGAGTCAAATATTAAACAAGAATGCTGCACTCCCACACAAAATCTGACAACTCGCTGACTAAGAAATAGGGAGTCTGGGAAGAAAAGAGCAGCAGGAGGCCGACTCAAAAAGGGGAGTTTGTTGAGTTATGATCTCTGTGACCACCAAAGAGAACAAACATTTTCTTCTTGAATGATGGCAATATAGTGGCAAAAAAAAAGCGCAGGAGGTGAACCAGGTATCATCAAAATACAGAACAAACAAGGTCAGCACGCTATTGGATGAAATTGAAGACTGTATTGAATATACAGCAACATTATACATTCAAAGCACATCACCTTGGTAGCCACTGAACGAAAAGATTGCAACTCAGCTAAGACGGCACAAATAAGTTACCCCCACAAAATATCACCGTAGAAATGCGCACGTGTCAAACTTGATGTGAAAGAACCTTTTTAGGAGCTCTAGCAGCTAAAAGCATATTTTATCATTTTATTATTATTATTTTTTTTCCCTTTTAAATAGCCCTGCTTTCTGAGCCTGATGCTGCCTTACTGTTTGTCTAAGGCTACGCGTGATAGCCTACACTGACAAATAACCATGCTGCGTTTCGTTGATCACAGAAGAAGGTAGAAAATATCCACCCATCTAATTTCTGATGAGAGAAATAAATATGTATGGAAAGAAACTACTACAAATATATATATATACAGCAACACAGTCACACATTTACATTTTGGAGCTCATAGTTTTGTAGCCAGTGTCAGGGGGGCAGTAGATGGCCATTGTTAGTGCTTGTTTACTCCTTGATGATGAGATTATCAAATAAAAAGTTAAAAGTCTCTTGTCGACCCTGTCTCCGAATAAGGCTTAATTAAAAACAACCCTGTTGCGGTGTCTCAATGCAAAGAAAAAAAAAAATGTTATTTTACTGTAATAAGCCAATCATGCAAAAAAAACCAAAAAAAAAAACAGTAATACAAGTACAGTGGAACCTCCAAAGTTGAACACAAGCTTTTCTGAACAAATTTCCCGACTGAAAATAAAAGAAACGGAATGAACTGATTCTAAATACAATTTTACAATTCCTAATTGTGATAAGGACACAGAGACAGCCCCCAGCAAAAAAAAGTCTCCTCCTAGCTGTTTCATCTTCTCGGCAAGACATGCGGGGGGCTCACAGCTGACAACGAGGCGCTCCAACCACCCCGAAGCGCTGCTCCACATGCTTGTCATATCATGTCAAACTTCCTCCACATTTGCCCACAATTTTTGGTGGGGTATTTGAATTTCAAATTGTGCCTCTTTTGGAGGTTCCACTGTCATTTTTGAAATGCTCGTTTCATATGTCGGGTTGCTTCAAAACATCACTGCTTCACGGATATAAATAATCGGTTACATTTGAAATCTAGCCAGCGTAATATCCTGAGTTACGTCTCAGGTGAAACATACACACGCTAACCTGAGCGCAAAACTGTCCCTCGAGTTATTTTACAGTATTTTGTCGGCTGTATTACGAATCACGATATTTTCCCGTGAGTTTTAAAATGTAGTGTACCATGTCGTATGTGGTGTACCATTGATATAAAAAAAATCTACACACACCTGTTCAAATGCCAGGTTTTTGTGAGCCCCCACCAAAAAAAAAAAATAGACCAAGATGAATCATTTCAAAACCTTTTGCACCATTAATTTGGCATCCAATGTGCACAACTCAATTTAAAAAAAATATACAAGATACAATATAATGTGGTTGCGAATCACGATATTTTCCCGTGAGTTTTAAAATGTAGTGTACCATGTCATATGTGGTGTGCCATGGATATAAAAAAATCTACAAACCCCTGTTCAAATGCCAGGTTTTTGTGAGCCCCCACCAAAAAGAAAATCGACCAAGATGAATCCTTTCAAAACCTTTTCCACCATTAATTTGGCATCCAATATGCACAACTCAATTTAAAAAAATTATACAAGATACAATATAATGTGGTTGTACAAGTGTGCACACCCTCGTTACGACTGGGGTGTGGCTCATTTTTTTTGTAGACCTTTATATCCACGATACACAGTTCGGTTAGCATGTTTTGTTTGTCTTTTGTTTAAAAGTGCTGTGTTTCATTCAACATGACATAAATACCACAAAAGAGGTGCTTCTGCACATCTTTCACATTTCCAGTGTTTCAAAAGCGATTCTCATCATGGACAGAGAAGGGACGAGGGGAAATAATTGGCCATCGAGTGGATCGACTTTTGTTTGGTTGTGTTATTTTTCTCCCCTTCGTTTTAGCTGCGTCTCTTGAGGTGAGCGTTGGAAGAGGAAGCGGGGAGTTTGGGGCGGCGACGGTTTCTAAGGGTCACGAGGTAAAGTAGGAGTTTTGCATGGAGTAGAGGCGGTCGATGGGGTTCCCCACTCTCGCAGCCAGAAGGCCGCCCTCGCCGGCTGCGAGCAGGCAGTCGCCGAGGTGACTCAGACTGCCGTCGCTGTCCAGGTCGTGAAACACCGTCTCGGATTCTGTGAAGAGGATCGTACAGCGTTGCCATTTACAAATTATGCCGTTCATTGGAAAGGAGAAGGTGTTTTGTGTCATAGTTTGATCAGAATAAGTCGTGGACACGTGAGATTTGGGACGGAATTTTGTGTCAAGTGTTTGGCAAAAACTTGAGATATAAGGTAAGATAAGATCAGAAAACCTTTATTTGTCTCACAATGGAGAAATTCCCAATTCACAGCAGCAAAGTTATGAAAGGAAGAAGTAGAAGAACAAAATATAGGAGCTGCGGTAAAGGCAGCCACTCTCGCGGCGCTGGCTTGAAGTCAAAAAAGAGACATAGACTTATGAAACGCTCTTTATTTTTGTGACCAACTTTATTAGGCAATAGCCATGCAACATTTATTTGTACAGTTCATTAAAAGAGTTGTATCAAAAATAACCTAAATTGGGTGAAAAAGGAAGCCGACCTAACTTTTGGAGTTATTCAACTTTTGGGGTCAAATGAACCCATATCGCCCCAAACAAAGAATGTGCTTTGCATAAAACAACCTTCCAAAATGTGTTATTTTGTGGTTTACTCATTGGACCAAATTTTTTAAATTTAAGGAGCCCCAAAAATTTAGTCAGTCCCCTTGTTGAAGAGGATCGTACAGCGTTGCCATTTACAAATTATGCCGTTCATTGGAAAGGAGAAGGTGTTTTGTGTCATAGTTTGATCAGAATAAGTCGTGGACACGTGAGATTTGGGACGGAATTTTGTGTCAAGTGTTTGGCAAAAACTTGAGATATAAGGTAAGATAAGATCAGAAAACCTTTATTTGTCTCACAATGGAGAAATTCCCAATTCACAGCAGCAAAGTTATGAAAGGAAGAAGTAGAAGAACAAAATATAGGAGCTGCGGTAAAGGCAGCCACTCTCGCGGCGCTGGCTTGAAGTCAAAAAAGTGACACAGACTTATGAAACGCTTTTTATTTTTGTGGCCAACTTTATTAGGCAATAGCCATGCAACTTTTATTTGTACAGTTCATTAAAAGAATTGTATCAAAAATAACCTAAATTGGGTGGAAAAGGAAGCCGACCCAACTTTTGGAGTTATTCAACTTTTGGGGTCAAATGAACCCATACCCCCCTCCCCCCAAAAAAAGAATGTGTTTTGTATAAAACAACCTCGGAGTTATTCAACTTTTGGGGTCAAATGAACCCATATCGCCCCAAACAAAGAATGTGCTTTGCATAAAACAACCTTCCAAAATGTGTTATTTTGTGGTTTACTCATTGGACCAAATTTTTTAAATTTAAGGAGCCCCAAAAATTTAGTCAGTCCCCTTGTTTTAGCTAATTTGGGTTATTTTTGACTGTTTTTAGACTACCTACCTGAGGACAATTGAAAGACACTCTCAATCATAGAAAATATTACCAGTGGTATTGGTAGTATCATGGAAATAGTAGTACTAATAGTAGTAGCATGAATAAAATATGTATTTGTGTTAGTACTAGTAGGAGAAGTAGTTTTAGTAGTTGTGTAGTAGTTTTACACGTGGTGTGAAAAGCGAGTTGGCTTTGTGTGCACTGGAGTGATTGACACCTGGAGTGATTGACACCTCTCAATGTATACCCTCAGTGGCCTAATGGATAAGGCACTGGCCTCCTAAGCCAGGGATTGTGGGTTCAAGTCCCACCTGGGGTGTATTTAGCTCCCTACAGACGGAATCTTAAGTCAAAATGGTCTAATATTGCAGTCTGAATGGAAGAGTCTGCCTTTATCCGTGATGAAACTGTCGCCTTTGTTGCTTACCGTACGGGTGAAGCTGCTCGCTGGGCAGCTGAGGCGGAGTCAGCCCGTGTCGGAAGGGTTCTCCGCCGTAGATGTTGGGGTCCAGGGTGAGTAGCTGCTGCCGAGGCAGAGAAGGGTATCCCAGCATGCCGTCCATGCCGTGACCGCTTGAGCCGTCTGTGTGGTGATGAAAATACCCGACGAGCTGGGTCAAATATTTTGACACACCAGAAGCTACTCATACTGATGAGCTAAAACTACAAAGAAATACTTTTCGCATATTTGAGTGTGGCGGAATTTAAAATTGAACAAAATTCAAACATTGACCTTCTTAAACAGTTGGAAGCAAAGAATCGAATGGTCCAAGATTTGTCCCAAAACTTTTGCTCATTGCTTACCCTCACTGTCATCGTTGCTTTGGCGTCCCCCTCGACTCGCGCCCCTCCTGGCCCCTCCCATCTGCTCCTGTTCCTGCTGCTGTTGTTGCTGTTGCTGTTGTCTCCGGGCAATCTTCTTCATCTGAAGCAAAAAAAATGCTCAAGGTAAACCTCAGGGTTTTTTTTTGTTTGTTTTTTGTTTTTCAAAATCTAAGATCTCAAGTGTTACCTTGGCCCTCTGGTTTTGAAACCACACTTGCACAACCCGCACTGTAAGTCCTGTCTCAGCAGCCAGCGTCTCTCTCACCTGGAAGTTCCATTTGGTTTGTTTTATTCCACGGAAAAAAAAATAAAACACTCAATTGCACTGATGCCTTGACTTGAGAATTTAGAAATTGTATCGAAAGTCATTTTCCCCATTGAAATAAATTGAAATGCCGTTAATTTGCTCGAGCGCTCTCAAAAACGGCAACTAATTTTTTTGTAATGTTTAAAAACAAAAACAACAGCACTCTACTGGATTGTACTTTATTAAAACACGCCGTAAAACCCAACAGAATGGAAAGAATTAAACAGCTTGTCCAGCAATGCTCAAAATCGTCCGAGCCATAACTCATATCTCATCAGAAAATGTGCAGTGTGTCCTCTCACCTTGCGGCAAGGCTTGGCTGACACCTCGAAGGACGCTTTGAACGCGCGGCGTTGCTGCGTGGTTAAGATGGTGCGCGGCCGCTTGGAGCGCTTGTGCTCCTTGCTCTCGTCGCCACCTTTGCACCCGCCTGAGACCCCGCCGCCATCCTCGTCTTCGCTTTTCACTGAACAAAGATGATTTTACAAAATAAACAAACAAATAAATAAAACAGGCAAAAACGATCTCTGAGTGAAAATGTGCATTGCTCTTGTACTCCACTAATCTTAACCATCCAAACAATGGGAAAGGGCCTGCTCTACAGGAATATCCCAGGATGCATTGCAAAATGCAGATAATGTTCTCCCTTTGCTCGTCAACACATTTGACTTGACATGAGAAACATTACATCGTGAAAATTATTATATTATCGCTTGGGGGTGCATCATGGTGAACCGAGCGCAAGGTTAGCTCGTCTGCCTCACAGTTTTGAGGTTCGGGGTCAGAATCTTGACTCTGGTCTTCTTGTCTGCGCAACCCTAATAATGACGACTTTGGAATCCTTTTGTTTGTTTGTTTTTTGTACCCGATTCCGTGGGCGTGGGACTGATGGCTGCGAGCATCTCCCTCTCCTTTTCGTAGTCCATGCGGCACAGCAGCTGGCCTTCTTTCAGCACAAACTCGTCGCCCCGCTGCAGTCGGCGCTCGCACTCGCAGCAGCTGAAGCAGCCCAGGTGGTACACCTGACCCAGCACGCGCATGATCAGCTCGGAGCGCCCGATCACCTGCAGGCAGGCGCTGCACTTGCTCACAAAAAGCCTGCAAACACACACACACACACACACACACACACACACACACACACACACACACACACACACACACACACACAGACGCACAAACGCGCACGGTGAGGGACGCCTACATATTGGATGTAAAGTAGACCATCATGAGGGTCAAGGAGCTGAAAGGAGGTGAGGTAATTAAAGATGGAGGCATAGACAAGGAGCCCCCCAACACATTTACTCTCGCATTCAACGATTCCAGAGATTAGCGTCGTCTCTTAATTAAAGGCCGTATAAACATTACCCAATTCACAGAGCAGCAAGGTGAACAGCTGCTATGCAAGGAATTACTGTAGTGTTTGAAGGAGAAACTGTTTCATATGCTGTGCTTGACTTGCACCTTTTTGGAGAGTAGATGGCAGTAGTGAGCCTGGATTGAGCTGCTTTCACTTTCGGAATTCACGGTGAGATAAAATGAATGTTTTTTAATGGAATCTGTTTCGTGTGGCGCAAAGTTGGGAAGAGGTCAATTAAGCAAGAAGCTTACAGATATGGTGACTATTTTCCTTCACTTTTAACTTTTTTTTTTCTTTATTTTTTACTCCATCCATCAATCCATTTTCTGTTGCATTTTTTCTTTTTTTCCTCATCGGTTGAATTTGAGCCTATCACAGCCAGGGTCGGCAACATTTTTGGAACTGACAGCTACTTCTTTGGTACTCATGAATGCAAAGGGGCTACCAGTTTAATACACACCTCGGAAATTTGCTCAAATGACCTTTAATCATACGTTTTTATGACATGTCATGATTCATAATGAATGATATTCATTTATGTATATTTATGTACATCATGTACTACCTAAAAAATACTGAGCACTCCAAGTACCACCATCATGCCCAAGATTAAAATACAGTAGCGTAGTAAGTCTAAGTGTTCGTGAAAATAATATTACTGCAAGTTACTGATGAGCAATATGAACATTAGCACAGCACTAAAATATAGGAAATTTGTCCAGAAAAGTTGAATATAGGGATGGGCAAGTTCTGATACCAGATATCGGTATTGGGCCGATACCGGCCTTATTTTAAGGTACTCAAAGAGTGAATACTCATCCTAGTATCAGTCTGAAAAAGTGGTATCAAAAATGTCTATTGTAAGACCACTGAACTGCACTTGGGCTGTGGTTCTTTCGCGGACCACATTTTGATAATCGCTAACAGAGACAGAGTGGCTAACTACTGGTTAACTAAACTAGACTGGTTGCCCGCCAATGTCCAACCACATGGGGGGACTGGAACGCAAGCGCTTTAAAAGGATGAGGATGGACGGGGACGTAGCACGATTATTATATGAATAAGGACCGAGGGACGATGACGGGAGGGTACCCGGGTCGCGAACGGAGGACGGACCGGCAAAATAGGGTCAAGTGCCCATCTCTGAATATTATCAAGGTAGCCTTTACTTTTAGTCTCGCCATCCCTTCCTTTCCGACCTCACCATCACTTCACACACTCATTCCCATTCACCATCGTCTCATTCCCCCTGCCATTAAATTCCTCTCAAATCCCCGATCTCGCTCTTGCTTTCCTACAGCCTCGCCCCCCCTCCCTCCACCCCCCCGCCCGCCCCGAACTTCCCCCACCTTGGTATTTTCTGCCAGCATTCCCAGTTCGCCCTCCCAGCCTGCCTTCCCCAGTTCACCGAAACTAATAAAGACGGGATTAATTAGATTGTTGTTTAAACAGGGCGATGGCCAGACAGACGCTGTAAACTCATAACCAGGGATTGAGGATAGCATGGGGTTAATCTCTCGCCACTCACTTATGCACACTGAGCCACGCACAAACACACTTCGAGTATCAATACCTATTCTGATGTGGGCCGACATACCACTTACAAGGCCTGCAACCGGGAATCAAAGATTTTTGGTTTCAGCAGGATAACAGTGCCGGCAATCTAATTTGAGCCAAAAAGCAGGAACTAGATACAAACTGGGATAAGGCGGAAGGGAGTACTGGCACGAGAGTGCGCAAGGGGGAGGAAGGCACAGACAAAAGTGTTGTTGCTCCCTGACTGAGTGCGAGGAAGGTGTTGCTCCACAAATCTGGAGCCAGGTCTGCACATTAGCGCTCCTAATCTGTCATTCCGTCCCAAACGCAGCTGCCACGGTTAATCTCTTCCATTCCATCTGCCAAAAAGCATCTCCAAATTCCCCAAAATGACTGCGTTTTCAAGTCAGTGGCAAATAGTGGAGTTGGCCAAAGTACTCACATGTTGTACCTGAAGGGTGAGTGTGCAATTAAAAAAAAAAAAAAACGTTTTGTTCATTTTTGTTAAAACTGTCATTATGACCTGACAGTAGCACATTAGAAAAATGATGTATGGGGAAAAAACAAAACCAGAGTTAACATCGGCTACCTTTCATAGGTGGAGAGTCCTCAGGCATCTGAGAGAATTCAGAAGTGACACAGAATTAGCAACATTTCTGCCCCGCAGGTATGTTTCTCACCTTTTTGGTTTTAAATCAAAAACAGAACTTCAAACAAATAACGTTTCGTGTTTTATGGTAACACTCCATTACAAATAAATCATGCTACCAACATCGCGGGCGCAGCTAACGTCGGCCTGTTCACAGTCCTATTGCTAGCTTAATATTGCTCGAGCTATTATTTTTGGTGATGCCAAATATTCTTTTTCTGTGACTATTTATCATGACTAGGCACTGTTGTAATCGCATGCCACTAACAATTTGAGTATCACTTCTGCACGTTAGCGAGGGCATGGCTTGATGCAAAATGAATGGAGTGAGGCTACATTCAAATCTTGCTAGCAGTTTTAAAATCAGGAAAGCTCAGTAGCTCAGTAGGACTACTGAACTACTCGACACCTTATATTGCTTCATGACTTTCTAACTTTTGAACATTGGTGTTTATGTCTTCAGTGTTCGATATATTTCGGAAATAGTGGCTTTTATCTCTGTGGTACGACTGAAATGCCAGCGACGGTACAATTTTTTTTTGTGCGTTTGTTTTAACATACTTGGTCAAGAAAGATGATTCTGATGCTGATCTATAAAGACATTTTCGTCAAGCATCGAAAGTACGTGAACGTAAAAACGATTAAAAGATGCTTGAAAAACCTACTTAAGTAAAGTAATGGGCGTATTTGCGCTTTGTTACGTCACACCGCTGCTCTCCGGTGATTTGTCTTTTAATAACGCACGCAACGCTTGCCTTCACCCGTGGGACAAAACGCTTCAAAACGACGACGATCGCTCGACATGAGACCAACCGTGTTAAGTCCCCACATTCCCTAAATAGGGGGGCGTGCGCAGCGTGTTGCGAATTGACTCAGCACGGCAAACGGAGGCAACTCGGGGCAACTGCCCCAGAGGGGGGTCTGTAAGTAGATCATTCTAATCCTCCCCCCCTAATAGAAGTATCATTCACACTGGCCCTGACAGGGGTGGAACGAGCCGCTAAAGAGCAACCTCATGCAGGGCCATCGTGGGATTTTAAGCAGCATACCTGAATGTATTGGAAGGGAATTTAGCAGGAAAATGTACCAAAAAAAAAAAAAAAAAAACCCGTCAAACGCCAATGAGGTCACAAAATCGATGATTTAATTGATAATTCCCACCCACTCGTGACCATGAACAGAAAATGAAGGTAAAAAATGTATGGATGATTGCTTTGATGCTTTGAAAAAAGTTGTCCACAAGTTGTTTAATTTAAAAAAAAAAAAAAAAAGTGAGGTTTAATCACACGGGACAGAAATGATCAAGGACAATGTAGCTCACATGAAAGACTTGAAGGAGGTCTTGAAATGAACTTTCTTTGTTCGTTGCGCCTATGACAGTGAGCGCGTTGTACAATCAGCGTGTCAAACGAGGGAAACATGAAAGACCGAGGAGAACAGTCGACTTTACAAACGCTTCAAAAAGATGTGGACTCCGCGATCTTGCGGAGGGGGTTAACAGGCCGTGACTAATAACATGTACACTTATTACGAGACCAGATGAAAACAAGAGGAAAATTGAAGCTATGCACGAGAATAAACGTGCATGGCAAATCCTTGAAAGGAGTGTTAAAACTTTGACAGCATGCCCCGCCCAGATTAGCTAGCATAGGCCAAAAAAACCCCCCAAAGCTTGTTAATTTCACATCAACTACATTGCCTAATTCTGATGGATTTGACACGTTAGCATAAAGCAAGCGGAGACAAAACTTTATGTCTTTGTAATATGAAGTATGTCTTTGATTAAATACACAACATGAATAATTGTCTTCATTTTGGGATTAGCTTGACAGTAAACATCAAGTGGTGTGTTCAACGGCCTGCAGCGAGCACACTTGGTCTCTTTTTATCCTCCAAACTGTACACAGCACGCTTAAGGAGGACAGAATCGAATAGTATAGGAAGTACAAATGTACACTTGCCAACACCAGTACGCGTGCGTCCCTATCGTGTACATTTTTACAAGTATTGAATTGCCAAAAAAAAAAAAAAAGCGGGCATGTTGAGCTCTCTACAAGGGTGATTCGTTTGTCAGAAGAATAGCAAACACAAATCCAAGTGGGCCTTCGCACTGGCTGATACACAAAAAAATAGGTGACGCATCGTCATCCCTTCTAGCTATATTTCACACTAGACAATCACAATAACACAATCAAAAGACGTGCCATGAATCCAACAATGTCTCGCCTGCAAACCGCGCAATCATTTCATGAATATGTTGATGTCTCAGAGTGGTCTTTCGTAATTATGATCCATATTTCAAGAAGCACGCTTGTAGTTTGGCGAACAATACCAAGTTCGAAATACACGAGAGTTGACCGGCCTTGCGTTTGAGTTGCGAAAACGGAAACGACAAACGATATGCAACTGTTGTACTTTTAAGTCACTTTAGTATCCATTTTCTTAGGTGTGTGTGTGTGTGTGTGTGTGTGTCTGAGTGTATGTGTGTGTATGCGCGCACGTTGGGCGGATATTGCTCTGTGAAGCAAAATGGCTCAGAGCCAAGGTTCAGTAATCACATCATCTCTGTTTATTAAATCTCCCTGCACTGCTTCTGTGTTATTAAAATCTCCCAGCATTCCCCACGATACTTGCTACCCCTGCCATCTCTCACTCACTCACTTACACTGCAGACGCACACGCGTGTATATGATTACACGGAGTACAGTGAGCCACATACGTGAATGCACGCACACCCCACACACACGTTCGCACAAATAGACGTGGCTATATACACACACAGTCGGGTAACCACCAATGCTCAGTTTGTGGAAAAGCAGATAAGGTACCCGGGCACAAACATCCATAAAACAAAGCCAGATGCTGTTGTTTGGGCACCGTGGCCGGCTGCTGATAGACTAACATGGTAAACAGTCCTCTTGCTTGAATGAAAGTTTCCAAAATGAGTTAAGAAAATAAACATACGTAATCTTTACTGCCCTGATAAATTACCTCCCACAACACTCGTAAAATCTAGATCCATCCCAGAAATGTATTGTAAACGATTAGAAAACGGTGACTGGGCTCCAGTAACTTAAAAAAAAAAAAAAAAAAAGATTAACCTCAATTGTATTTTTCTAAAATTTAATTTCTTTATTTACCTTTTGATATCATCCATATATATTTTTTGAAATCTCAAAAAAAAAAAGAAAATTAATATTTTCTTCTGCGAAGGATCCATGTCATGGTTTTATTGTGCTAGGTTATATTAACAATGTAAAAGTAAGATGAGCTGTGACATCCACACCAGAAAACACCCCAAAATGTGTGAATGTTTTTAATTTAGCATAATATTATATGGTACTTTATAAAAAAAATTAACAACACAGTTAAACAGAATATAAAGAATTAAGCAGTTTATAGAGTTATTAATTAAATGCAGCGCCTTCTGGTTTATGTGAAAAGGCCACCGAGGGGCAGCATAATACAGTCACGCAGACACAAATGAGGAAATGTTCCGTAACTCCTGGAGGTAACTCACTAAACTGTGTTCCTATTTTTTCTGGAGGATAAAGAATATATGCATTTCAGTATTGTCGATGTGCCCGTTTGTGTTCAAATAAATGTTGCTTAAAACATAACACTGGAACATACAGTAGATACTATTTGTTAGCCCAGCTATGGTGTTTAGCATTTTTTTCTCATAGCATTTAGCATCCAGTGTTTATCAGCATGCATTGTCCCTTTCAAATGAACAATAAAATGAAATGAAAATGTTTCGAATGCACATGTGATTAGTTTGATGTTTAGTTTGACAGTAAACCTCAACCGAAAGTGGCACTTAGCAGCTTGAAGGTTCTTTTTACAAGTTCTTCACGAACCGCTGCTTGTTGCGGAGTGAGTTCCATTCGCCCTACAGGGCAGTCACTAATATCTCAAAGCACCAGCTGTATATATGTTTAGTGTTGCACAAAGTTGTAAGAAGCACATGGACGTAAAAACGTGATCTTCCATTGCAACGCGCGGACGATTAAAAACCAGCTTGTGTTGTCATTTCTCTCAGGATAGGTTTGATTTTTCACCTGATGCTACCAAAAATTAATGCAATGCGCGAGGACCTTCGCTCACATGTGTGTGCGTGTGTGTGTGCGTGTGTGTGTGTGTGCGTGTGTGTGTGTGTGTGTGTGTGTGTGTGTGTTAGTTTAGATAAAACAGTTAATCCCCAGGCCACCAGAACGCAATATCCTGTCTGCCCGCTTCTCATTTCCTGTCTGTCTCAGGCGGAGCGGGAAGCAGCGGGGCAGGGGAGCGGGGTGCTGGGATGGCGGTGACGGGGGACAGCGGGACCCGTTGCCCCAGAAACAGGAGATGCAGCGATTCGGTGGAAAGTGTCGACGGCGTTCTCCCTACCCCGCAACACCCCCCTTCCCCGCTCCTCTATTCTCTCTCACACTCTTCCTCCTCTTCCTCTCTGCTTTTATTATCTCAGATTTAATAAAGGCAAGGCGAGCAGCTTGTTCTGCCATGAAACATTTATTAGCTGTCTGTTATAAAATTGTTGTGTGTGTGCGTGCGTGTGTGTGTGTGAGGGGGTGCTGGGGTGAAAGATGATGGGGTCTCATAATATGCAAAAACGGTGACAATATCACGACCCCACACATGTGGCTCCCCCGCCGCCCCAAAAAAATCCACCTCGTCCTCTTCACCCTCTCCATCGCACTTCCTCCATCAAGTGACAGTTGGCCTTTGATAATAGTGTAAAAACATGACACCGCCATGTCTCTGCCATATTTAGGACACAACTTCACACATCATCGACTACAGGTCTGATACACTCGTAAAACCGCTGGGTTAAAAGTAACTCAATTTGGGTGAAAGAGTTAACCCAGCAGTGGGTTCAAAATGCTGGGTTAACTCAACTTAACTGGGTTTTCTTTTTTTTTTGTTTTTCAGTCTGATCGATTAAAGCTTGCGCAACTTGATTTCTATAACACTTTTTTATTTATTTATTTTTTTTTAAGGAAACACTACATCCCATCACAAAGGAGGTACTTTTAGAACAGGCTAGCAGGCTACCTGCGCACAACGCCCTGATCTCCAGTAAATACAGAATGGGTACAAATTGCGGAACGATTTTCAACGGCGGCCTTTTGCACAGTACTTTAGAACTGCTCGCATTTGATCTCAACTTCTCTGATCAAGCATGTTGAAATTCTATCCACCGTCCCTTTTTTTTTTTTGATAGCGCTTGGCCTCACTCGGGTTGCCAGTGTGCTGGAGCCGATCCCAGCTATCTTCGGGTACACCCTGAACTGGTGGCCAGCCAAGAAGATCCAACCCAGAACCCCCCCTGCGACCCCCTCACTGTTTTGAACTTTTCCTAAGTTTACTCTCCTAACAGGACTGAGAAGCGGATCATTAAATATGAATGAAATAATTGTTGTAATTTAGTCTTCAAATAACATATTCACACGATTCCCCTGAAAATCACGTCTGTGCATTCACATTGACACCTTCGTGATCTTCACGAGTCAGCCCGTTTAGCTGACGGTAACGAGAGCTTGTTGACATGCCGTCGCGTTAATAGTATTTCCCCACAGTTCGTGTCAAGCCCGTCCGTCACTGAGACAGCCACAAGAATTGTGGCTAATTAGCGTTGTTCTCAATCAGAACCCTGCCCCCTGCCAGCCCCCCTCCCCTACCCCAGCGCCCTCTTGTACTCCCTGCAGGTTACCTAAATCACGCGAGTGGTAGACAGGGATGAGGAGGAGGGGGCGGCGACATTTAGAGAAAACAAGAGATAAACTGTTTGGTGTCATAGCTGCGATCAATCTCACTGAAAAGGAAATGAGGTTTGGGATGGAGAAATATGATTGCAAAGCAGACAGTGACGGATGAGGCGGCAGATAGAAGGAGAGACGCGGCGCGCTACGTGGAGGCAAGATGGCGGCTTCTATCGGTTCACTCGTTTAGCGCTTTTCTACCTTCAAGCGGAAATTAAGTCCAAAATTGTCTGTACAATATATTCCATACCCCCCGCCCCCACTAATCTAAACGCGGCATGCTGATTAATATTGCATATTCATCTCAGAGGGCGGCCATTTTTGCCACTTGCTGTTGACTGAAAATGACATCACAATGCCTAAACATTTTTGTTTTGATTTTGAATCACAAATAAATATATTTTTTCAAATGTCGTTTTAGCAAGTCCAAAATTGTCTGTACAATATATTCCATACCCCCCACCCCCTACTAATCTAAACGCGGCATGCTGATTAATATTCCATATTCATCTCAGAGGGCGACCATTTTTGCCACTTGCTGTCGACTGAAAATGACATCACAATGCCTAAACATTTTTGTTTTGATTTTGTATCACAAATATATATTTTTTTTCAAATGTCGTTTTAGTTAATCCATTAGTTTTCTTTAACGGATCTCGCAATCCACCCAACTCAGTGACCACACGCATGAGGATTAGCCATTGTAAAAAAACAAAAACAAACAAACAACAACAAAAAACACTGAACACACCACAGGAAAATCTTTTAAAGACATCTGATAATCTGTTTTTCACAGATTCAGATCAGAAGGGTGAAAATATCAGTCTTAACACACTCCGCACCGCGGAATAATCATTCAGGATCATCTTTAAAAGGCATACGATAATTAAACGCTTGCTAATTTTGATCCAGGGGTGGACGAGTAATCATTCCGAACACACCGAACACCACATGATAATCTTTCAGATAATCTCTCCTTGGATGCTTTTGATTAAAAGCAGAAACGTGCTCCCATCCATCCTGATTATCAGTACGTGTGTACTCCACTTAAGTCAAAGCACCGCTCAAAAAAGAATAAGAAAAAAATCTGAGGTGGATTTAGGTGCAGCTATGTGGTCAGAAGAGGGAGATTGCATTACTCTGCCGGTGGGATCTCCCTCCGTGTGAGTTTATGAAGCTAAAATGTAGCGTGAGCAGCCTCCACCCCACACCGGGTGAGCTATTAAAGCCCAGCTTTGGTGAGTATCCACCCCCGGCGACCTGTTTTTTGTTTTTTTTTTTCCAAAGAGCTGTGGCTGCCGTTATGGAGCTTCCGAGGAGGGTTTGCAGGCTCATTCTGTCAGCGCTCAACATCATTGACCAGGAAACGCCGGCCTTAAACCTCGCAGCGTGGCAAAGAACCATGCCGCTGACCTCCACTGGAGGAAATAAAAAAATGGCTGTCAAGAGGCCCATTTACTTAAACAGCACTTTTGTTATGATGCTGGGGATCGCGCCCGCCTCTTTTACACAGAGGCGCTGCACAATAGCCTCGTCGGGGTCTTTGACTTTGACACAAAACACAGCAAATGTGAACTTTAGAGCACACTGCAATCAGATCGGCTAGTCTTTGTCAGCTGAAATTGTCACTTGCAGTGGTTGTGAAACACTTCTTCGTTTACGTCTGCATGACCGTGTTATACTGCCCCCTTTTGGCCAAGTCGTACGCACCAGGAGACTTCATTCTTGATACGATCTTCCAGAGTGCTTATTTCTCAAGGCACCACTGAAATTTTATTCAACATTTCCAGTATAGGGACTTGTGCCAAATTTTTCTCCTTCCTCTTAAAATTCCCAGCATCCTTCTGCTTCCATTAAAGTTTGATGAACTTTAGAAATGACAAAGTAAATGAGTTCTGTATAAAAGTTTGTCGCTGGTTCGCATGCAAGACCGATGCTCTGCAAATCTACCATATGTACTATATATAGGTGGAAGGCTCTAGTTTAGGCGCGAAAGCTTCAATGTAAACATCTGCTCACGAACAGGGCGGCATATGAAATCACGCATGATGCATTTTAAATCCCCTCATTTCCATAATAAATTAAACAAAAGAATAAACACCTCCTGTTATTCCAAAGCGCAAAGAGATTCCTTATACTCATTGTCCTTTTGGTATCGTGATACCAGAGAACCTGCGACTATATTGCTCGCCTATTAGAATAATTGCCTAACTGACCGTGACAAGGTCAATAAAAAAATAGCAACGTGTTTGCTCAAATTTTTCTTCATATCCGAGTAGATTCTCAACTATGCGGGTCATGTTTTTTTTTGTTTGTTTTTGTTTGTTGAATTAGTTATCTTTCTTCTTATTTTCCAAAAACTTTCAAAAACGACTGACAACAATGCTATTAGGCAAACGACATGGGAAAACACAATCAGTAGCCACAATATTTAGTTGCGGTATCAAAAATGGGCCTTTGACAATACTGATCAAGCAAATTGAGCCATCTTTTAAGGAATCGCTGTTGATAACCATTCACACCCACAATCACACTTCGGGACAATATAGAGTGTCTAATTAACTTACTACGCATGTTTATGGAATGTGGGAGGAAACCTGAGTACGAAAAGGAAACCCACGCAGACCTGGGGAGAACATGCAAACTCCACAAAGGAAGGCCACAGCCAGGATTCGAACCCTGGACCTCTGTACCGTGAGGCGAACTTACGAACAAATTAGCCCCTGGTGTCAGCTTCACCAACTTAACGTTTCGATCATAACAGGAGGTACGGAAAAGTCAAGGACCAATGATTGAAATTGAACAAGTGATGACATGACTGCCGACAAGGAAGTGATGACAACTGTCAAGCACAATAAGACACATATTGCTGCATTGTTAACCCTCTGGTCATTTTTAACGGCGGCCTTGCTTCCAAAGTGTAAACACAACTATATATGAGCATGATGAGATTATTCCCAATACATGCTCCAGATCCCGGCCGCTATGTGTAAAGCACACATACAGGGGAGGCGCCCGTGGTGAGAGTGCATGCAAGGAAAACAAGGAGACATTGTTGCTGATCCACTGAAGGTCACAGGCTGCACCGAGTGCCAAGTCTGGCACAGAAACAACCCCCAAAACAAGGCAGCAATCCATATGGAATGCATACAGCGGGGCTGAATCAAGCATGTCGTAAATGAGCCTCCGGGTATTAATCTCGGTTGATGACTACAGTCATTACACGAGGGGAACAAATATGCTTTTTCACTCCCAGGAATTAAAAAAAAACAAAAAAAGTCATTTTTGATAAGCTCATGCCTGCACCATTCCCACTCCCCCCAACCTCCCGCCCCCCAAATCCCCCTAAGATAAACGTCATACAATGGGACTTTCATCAGCGGCCAGTTCCTCTTTTCTCTATGCCTCATCGAGCCCTCGCTCGCTCCTCCAGATGTCAGGTAGAGTGGGAGCTGCTGGATGCCGTCTGACACTTTTCAAAACATTGATAGCAGCGATGCACTGCACTGAATGGAGACACACACACACACACACACACACACACACACACACACACACACACACACTCTATCGTAGAATATGCAGCCCCGGGAAATGAGAAACATCGCATGCAGAATATTTGATCACTATTGGATATTTGCATTGTGCATGACACTAGTTGTTGATTTATCTATGAAAATCACCTCCGTGCTTTCCAAACGAAAACGGTGGCATGAACAAACTAGCCTACACTTAATACAAAGTAACAAATTATAAAGTTCAGCTGTTCAAATGGGGTGGCTTTTATCTAAAACTGCGGCCTTAGTCAAGGTGGAGGGATTTATGAACAGTTCCAAATCAAAACCTTTCTGGAATGAAAAAAAAAAAAAAACGTGTCAGGAAAAGCCTACTAGAACATCTGAAATGTATTTAGGGTCAATCGGATGCATTTTAATTAGTGGCAGATGTGGTTGAGTCGCATTTAACATGAGTTTGAATGTAATTGGCAGATTCTGAAGACAGTGACAGCCACACCTCCCCTCCCGAAAAGATTTTTATAAATCATCAATTATGTCGCAAAAGTTATAGGTCACATTACTTAATCTGTTTATTCAAAAACAAAGTTATTTCAAATTGACGATGAAGAAAATGCACAAACATATAATTAGAAATCAGTTACTGGTTTGGCCCATAGCGTCAGAAAAAAAGGCAAAAATGTTTTGACTCGATTTTCAAAGTAAAAGCAGAAAGAAAAACTTTTTTTTTTCAACACAAAGATAACTGGACAGAAATTGGAGAATGTTTACTGTTGAAAAGCTGAAGCGTTTAGACAATTTTCAATGCAAAAAAAAAGGTATCTAAATAATTAAGGATTCATTTGATAATTTGATTTTGTTTAATTGTTACACATCTAGTTAAAAAAACACACACACAAACACACATACGTACAAATAAACCAGGCATCCACAGTTAATGACACCCCAGTCAAATAACTCTCGAGCTCTAATTTGTTGTGCTGGTTAAGTGGAGAGGAGAAGGTGGATTTCCAAAGCACACCCCCCGTCGCTGCCCCACTACTGTGAATCAACAAACCAACTAAGTGCCCACTCCGAGTTTCACTCTGTGTGACGGCGCATGGATGATTGAGTGACGTGATTCTTACTTTTCATAGTCCGGCTTGCAGTAGAGCAGTCGGTCCCGGCAGTAGCACGTCCCCGTGAGCGCGCTCATGCACACAGTGCACTTGACACACGACTCATGCCACGAGCGCTCGTTGACACGCAGCAGGAAGCGGTCGGCGATCGGGGACGAGCAGCCCGCGCACACTTCGCCGCCTCCAGCAGGGTAGTCTGTGGACCAAGGCCCCACCCGGAACCGAGAAATGTTACAAGCATGAATTCAAAATCCTACCACATGTTTTATATACTCCACTAAGGCCGACGAGAGTCCCGACTTACGACAGTAAGCATTGAACCGCTCCCAGAATGATCAAATTTCGTTCCGACCACCACGACGTTGGCGAAACGTCAATCACTAGCCAACTCAGCGCAGCACTGAAGTCATATTTCTAGTTAATATTTTCGGGGGGAACTCTTCTAGGCTATAAACAATCAAATGAAGATGATTGGTAATAAGTTTAAAATTCTATTACAAAAAAAAAAATGGCTCAAATGGTTTCTGACACCCGTCCCTACGTGGCGACGAATTTCTACGTCATTCGAACGGCGCCGTGTAGTTTTGGACTGCATCACGCTGAAAAGAGTTTTTCAAATATTTATGATGCACAAAATATGCGACATGGAAAATATTGGAAACGATCTTCAGCTCTGATATAGTTCTAGTAATCTACACAATTTTTTATTGAACTCATAAATAATATCGCCTATGATGATAATTAAAATGTAACAATTTCCTCGAGTGGCTAAGATGGTAAAAAAAATATAATCGAAACAACCCCTCAGTTGTGTTACACTTCTAGTAGCGTGCATTAATTTTATAGCACATATCGGTAATTGTAAAAGTAGGAGATGGATAAATCAACTGCTCATCATTATTATTATTGATGGTGATTATCTTACTTTTCACGGTTCAATAAAGTAAACAAAAATATTAAAAACAGTCGTCAATAGTGAGGCAGTTTTAGTAGTCCGCATTTATTTTGTTCACACATCAATAATGCATGACAATGGATTGAAATTACAATTTAACAGTATGATTACGATGTAGTAATATTTCACACCACATGATTACGTTTTTTAAATCTTAAATGTAAATACATTTATTTTCGTTTTTTTGTGTATTGTGGTAGGGTTTTTTTCTGGGGGCGGGGAGGGGTTGTTTCTTATAATAGGCCTTAGTTGGGGAAAAATGCCACGCGTTTGCTATTTATTTAATATTGTTCAATATGGTATTATATTCAAGTGTATTATTATTGCGTATGAATATCCACGTGGTATTTTTGTATTGTGGAAGCACTCGTCTAAATAAAAAGGCCCATTCAGTGAAACTATAAGTGAACGTTGTGCTTGCATTCATGGGCCTGTTTTTAATTTCATTTTGTTGACAAGTTGCAGATACTCTTTTTGTCTTTGTTTGGGATGCTCGTCGGCGTCAGTTAGTCGCTCACCAACAAAAGGTGTTGAAGATGGAGGCTGCTGCAGACACGACTGTTGGCTCTCCTCCGTTTTCATGCCTTCTCTCCTTGCCTCAGTGTGGTCGCTGTACACAAAACAGAAACACGTGCGCACACAAAAAAAACCCTCAACTAAGCATCAAACATACATTATTGAAAGTAAAAAAAATGGAGATGCACTATCGATGTTGAGTTGGATCCTACCAGGATCAAATGAAAATGCACAACGTCAAAACTTGACAATTGTATTTGACGTGAAAAAACATCCAAATAATCATGACAAATATTCAGATATAAACAGGCCTATATATGGTTCAATTTGTACAAGCAGTAATACAACTAATTAAATTGGGCACTTTTGAGAATCACACACAAACACACAAAACGCGTCTATAATTAAAGACGACCATTTTAACCAATAATTATTTTTCGTGGCATACCTCGGATCATTTTTTTTTCATTATTTTAAATCCCCAAAGGGAATTCAAATCATAATCTTATTATCTATCGTCAATACAACAATATTTTACCGCGAAAGTTTCATGAAATCTTACGTTTAATACGGTAAATTTACCGGCCTGTGTAATCAAATTGTACTCAACATTCATTTTGATTTTTTGCCTCATTATTGACATGAAATAAATCTTTCAAGACCGTCATTATTAGATGCTGGTAGATGATTGCCCGTTTAATTGCCGCATTATTTAAAGAAACAATAAACGATGATAAAAGAAATGAATTATGGAAATTCAACCGTAATCTGATTTGGTTTTATGACTAACTGGAGGGGGGAGAGCTTAAAAAAAAAATACACGAGGGGCACATTAGTGTTTTGTTATGCACCGTTAATTGCATGTTGACACTAAACGAGAAAAAAAAATGAACCTGCAGCTTTCATGAAAAGAAAATACACCATCATCTAATCATTTAGAAGAGAAACATCGACGAGAAGACAACAAATATGAGCATAAAATAAAAGTGAAAAGAATATTAGGAACTATTACAAATGGCCGAAAATACACATTTGAGTGCCTCGCGTGTTTTTAGCAGCGAATTTTGTTGTTGTAGATTCAAGTTAAAAAAAAAAATAATAATAAGTGAGTAAAATCTGCCCCTGTTGCACGGATGCTGCCTTACCTTGAGGTGAAACACACTCCAGGTATCTCGGTGGGCAACATTAAAAATACAATGGCAACTTCCAGATGCGTTCACGGACCGCTTTCCACCTGCACACTTGCCTTTCCTGCGTTCCGCCTAACTAAACATCCATGACGACACCACCACGCTCTACTCCACGCTGCGGACGGGGTATTGTCTCTCCTCCTCCTTCTCCTCCTCTTCTTCTTGTCGAACAGCCTAGCTGACTCCTCTGGCGTGTTTGTGCGTAGAGGAGGGGAAAAAAGGGGGTGAGCATGCCTGCAGACAGAGGGAGGGATGTGAACGGACTGCAAGGAGAGGGAGGGAAGGCAAGGTGGGAGACATGGAATCGATGGATAAAGCACTTTAGGATGTTTGAAGGCTTTGGGATGGTAATCTCAACTCTTTTAGTGCTGTAAACCTCGTTATTTGCCCTTAATTTGCAATATATTACCCCCTAAAATAAAACAACAGATTCAAGGCACACAATTGTTCAGCAATCAACCTCCCCCAAAAATCTATGAAAACAAAAGTAACAGATAATGAGCAAAAATCCAATCGCCTACCATCCGCATAGGACCCGCTTTTATTTGCCGTTGTAGTCGAGCGGCGAGGTAACGACACCCCCTTGTGTCGAATCAGGAGAGGTGCAAGAATTAAATCACTCATTTTCTTACACTTCCCAAGTCCCAACAACGCGAAGCTCACCAAATACATATACATACATATATACATATATATATATACATATATATATATATTTCAAATAAACACAAATTTAAAAAATATGCATATTACATTACTGTTTCAAAAATTATATATATATAGATTTCGAGCAGAAGGAAGGGAAACTCAGTCGACACACCACAGGATAGTCACTCAGGATAATCTTTTCAACACATCTGATCACTAGTCTTGGTTGACTTTAATCTGAAAGAAGGTGGGGGAGGCGGCGGGGGGGGGGGATTCAGACAAATTATTTTTATGTCCGTATCCTACTTCATTTTTTTTCCCCATCCCTCAAGGTACTGTACTAACTAGTCGAGTGTGAAGCTTACAAAAGCAGTACCACCCCAGTGACAAGACAATGTAAAAGATGCAGGATGCATTTGTAGTAACATTCAAGTCAACAATGGTGACTAAATCCATATTAGATGCTTGTGCTCCAGTTATTCCTCACACAAAAAGTTGTTCCTCCCTGCCTGATTGGCTGCGCCTCAGCTTCAGACCCGACAGAATTTTCTGCGCGGGTGAGGTGAAGTGGTGCTCCGCAGGAATGGCCCTCGGAGAGTGACACAACGCCTTCCTCTGTAAGTCAATGGGGCCGGGGCCGTTCACGCTGAGGTCGACCGCGGCACGGGTCACCGGCGCCAGTCCGAGCATGTACTGCACAACATCCCGCGGGCTGAGAGGAGGAACGTCCTCCGCAACGCCGTCCAAACTCCGGGGACGTCCGTGTGTGGCTCGTTCCGGGGAGGAGCTGCGACTGCTGTCTGCGCTTCCTGGAGGGTCCCCAGAAGGCACCGCGGGCCGTCCGGTGTCGCAGCTCTGGTCGGAAGCTCGGCCTCTCGGGTTGTGATGGCGGTGGTACTTGACAGGCTGCCTGGTGAAGCGGTAGTGTGGCTTGTCTAAGACAAAGTCCCTCACTGGGTCATGATGAGTCTTGCTCAGGGCTTCGCTCATAGCCAGGACTGGGACACCAGGAGGAGAAAAAGATGGTTTATTAAATAAAGTCAAGCAACATTCAGGTTGATGCGTCAAGGCTCGATGCACATCGGGCGAGTGAAATATACAGTCGCCGCCTCATGCGCGCATGCCAGGCCATTGATCCTCGCACATATAACCAACTTGCGACAACGGAAAAACTGTGACGCCTGGTGTTCCTATGGGGAAACAGTGTTTTTATGCTGTATTATTTTTTTCCATTTCTAGGCAAAGGTACGGATAAATTATAAATACTGTATAGTTAGGTATTACTGTAAAACACTATATATAAACATACATACATACATATACACACACACACTCTTCTGGATTATGATATATATGCATAGCTAAATAATACATCTCCATAAATGCACGTGTGTATATCTATTTTCAACCACACCCTCAAGTTGGTGAACAAAGTTGAACCCTGTTTGTGAGAGAGCCCCAAAGAAGAACTGAAAATGAACACTTGAACACACTCAAACAGAAAGAGTCGGACGGAAGGAAGTTTACTTAACCACAGAAAAGTCCCTAAGCCAGAAAAAAAAAAGGAACTACAAAGTGGGCCAACAAGAGGAAACCACTCAGCCGACTGCAAGCTAGAAGTGGCTGAAAAATGGACCACAGTACAATAATAACAACAACTTCTAGAAGCCAACTGAGTTCTCATCACTGATCTACGGCTCTAGTCCCGCCTACCTGCTCTGTCAGCGGCTTCGGGGCTGAGCTGGTCCACTGCCTCATTGGATGAAGACTTGTCAGATATATAACCCTCGCTCGACTCTCTCTTCATTCTTTCGTTCTGTTGGAATGACACAAGTTGAGTAGCGTGCCATAAGGATGTTGGATTCTCTTTGCCTAACCCGGTAATAACTGAACGCTGACGTCCGTTATGACAAGTCGTGAACAAACGACTCGCTCCAGTCTATGGAGCATTTACATTTTCAAGAGTCTGTCATATTTATTTTATTTATTCATTCAGCTCAAAATTGTTAATCAAAATGTATTTGTTAATTTTTTTCATTTACATCATCAAATAATTGGTCAATGGATAGGCAAGTACCGATACCAAGTATCAGAATCGGGGACAATAATAGTTTTTGTATCGGTGCTCATGGAGGCTGCCGATACTGGCAGCAGCCACTGAAACTTAAGGCAAAGAATATCTGACATCAAGTAAGTCCTCCTCAGCAGTAGTTGGAGCGACACTACTGCGGTTCGACACATCTGCCCCAAATCCCTGGCAGCTCCCCTAAGACCCAGTAATGGCTCTACAACTGTCCAGGACTGACTTCCATTTTAGATGTAACAAGCCACCAGGTGTCCAAATACTACATCTCATCTTCTTGGAAAAATGTCAAACCGAAATACCAAGTGTGACGTAAAAGAAATGAAACAATACAAAGTGCAAGCAAAGCAGCAGCTGTCCAGTGAGTTCATCAAAATAAAGCATCATGAGTCTCTTAAAACAGCAGTTCCCTTAATCCGGTTTGAAGGCTCCGTTACAAACTGAGCAATTAAAGGAAGAAGTTGAAAATAGAGCTAAATAACGGCACAACTTACTTCGAGTGAGTAAGGACGATCCCTGGAAGATGTTCCTTGTTCTGGTTGGGTGTCCAAGTCCCCATCCAGAGGGTGGGCGCGTCTGGGAGGGGTCTCCGGAAGCGGACCTGTGGGGGCCGGAGGAGGAGTGGGGGTCCTGACTCTCTGTCGGTGGACGAAGACTTTGTCGTGGTGCGAGATGAGGAAGTCCACCAGCAACGCCTGGTAGGTGTTTTCCTGCAGGGCCACTGCCGGCTGGTCCATACACACAGGGGGGCGAAGGAGAGTCGGACCGAAGACAATGCCCAAATTGTTGGAGGACATTTTGTTCTCGTTGTTTCTGGAAACCCTGCAGGGATAAATGGAAGGTGCATGAAATTAAAAAAAAAAAAAAAAAAAAAAAAAAAAAAAAAAAAAAAAAAAACGTGCTCATGCAGTCAAAATGTTACTAAAATAGCGGATGGAAGTCCAAAGATAAGTTTGTACTAAAACATTAAAATCAGGAAAATGAAAACAGTGTAATATGCATGTCATGCCAGTAGGTGGTAGTGTCTAATTGTAACAAGGGGCATTGTGCTGCTGTAATTTATTTAAATCTGAAAAACAACTTCTTTATTGATCAATACAATAAACATTGTGCTAAAATAGCAAAAATTAAGTTACATGCTTTAAAATTTGACATGCTGTCTGAAACAAGTCAGTAAGTAAAGAAAAGCGGAGATGACAGTTTCGTTTTTTAGAGTCAAGACAAACTTACTTATGCAGATGGAGTACGAGGTGCTCCAAAGTGTTATAACGGCACAGAGGGAGTTTTTGCAGTAGCTGCTGAAGGTTACGAACAAGGTCTGTGAACTCGTTAGTGTCTTGCGTCGAGTCCCACTCGCCCACCTGCTGGATGCGCCTCCCCGCTGTTATGAACTCGGTGTAGAGTTCAAACGTCAGCAGGGGCTCCGGGAGCTAATTTGCCAAAACGATAAAAGGTAAGATGGAAGAAATGTGGTTCAGTTCTTCTCGGTGACATACGTGCCGTACCTCCTTGAAAAAGTGCTTGAGGATGCAGGTGACGTCGTGTGGAGACACCTCAGAAAGGTCCACGTCCTCCTTGAACTCCTCCAAGGCCTGGCACAGCTTCTGGACCCGAGGCTTGGACCCGCTCACCCGATACACCCCCTCAGTAGGAACATAAAACAGTTCATAAAAAACAAATGATACTGATAGTGTCTGCCATTTTTTTCATAAAACATCTGGGAACTGTTTTAAATTGTAAAAAAAAAACAAAAAAAAACCAATACCTGCAAGGAGAGCGCACGACTCTCGATCTCGGCGGTGCAGCGTCGCACCACAAATGGGACGTCGTCCGGCGCGTGGCGCAGCAGCAAAGACAGGGGAACGCCAAACACCTTGCCCTTGTTGTTGTCGCACTCCATCTGACACACCTCCATGCACTTCCTGTGCAAACCCAGGCCGCACTGAGGGCGGCAGAAATGAATAAAACCACCACCGGCGTCTCCTTTCCAAACTTTTCGCTGACGCTAAAGGGACACCCACTTCCTCGCATTCCACGCCGTTGACGTAAATGTAGTTGTCGCACTGCTTGCATTTCACCATCTTGCTCTTCATTTTCTTGAGTCGGTGAGTTAGTGCCGCCCGGGATGGGGTGCGAACTTTGACCTGCTGGCCGTCGAGACACTCTAAAAAAAAACAATAGGATAGACACATTGCGTGAAAGATAAAACTCACTGTATAATCCATTCATCCCATTTCTTTTTTGTACTCAGAGAAAAACGTCACTGGAACATCACTGTGATATGCTGCCATCATCAAATGATCTATTAGATTATATTTAATATAGAGCAGTGATAGACTCTCCCTGTCCTTTATCTGTGTACTCTATGTGTGTAGCAGTGGAAACGGCCACTTACTGTACATTTGTTTATGTCTAGTCAAAGTATCTATGTTACATAATAATAATTTTGTCTTCCAGCCATCTTCCCCTCGATCACAAGTTCTGACTTTCTGAGGTGCGTGTTTGCCTGTCCCTGTGGCTGTTTGGCGTTCTGCTACCACGACAACAAGGTGGGGGTTTCTCTTTTTCGTGTCCCGCGGATTTTAGCGCTTTTCATGACGGTTGTAAAACCAATTCCCAATCTCCAGTGCCTTTCCTTGTGTTTCAAACATACTTGGCTAATTAAAAAAAAAAAAAAAAAAACAAATTGAAATGTAAGTAGGATGGATTTCTGTCATTTTACGGGCCACTAAATCTACCTGGCAACAAGCAGTTTAAAGGACTGCAGTGATTTTGCTGAAAAACAAAAAGAAACATTTCCCCAATCGACATTGGGTGGACCTTTCGATCATAGCAGGGTGATCGAAAAAGTGCCGACAACCTTTAATTGAAAACGAACAGTAAGTCAACCATTTTGGTTTAAAATCGCCATTTTGAGTGAATTCCATGAATCAGAAACAGATGAGCAACACTAGATTGTATGCGCAACTAATTTTCAAAGTGTCATGTGGCGCGTGAAAGAATCACTGCCGAAATATAGATCATGTAACTTTTTAGTACAATATATTAGCATTTAATGAAGACGCCATGATACTCTATGTTTCTCTAGGCAGGAAGCGGTAGATCACAAACCAGATTCAGATGTCACATCGCGGTCATCCATGTCATCGGCAAGCAAGTTGTATGTTCTGTGACCTCTCCTGTGACAGTGTGCTGCCGCGGGTGGGAAAAGACAACACTTCAGTCATGTTCGGACATTATCGAGGATAAATTAAAAGACATGATGCAAAGATGTGATCACCTGGGCTGGACAGTGATTCCAGACTGCCACCGACACTCTCACTGTCACTGAAGCCAAATCTCCCTACCAAGCAGCAGACGCATTTAATTTTGCCATTCAAATGGAGGTGAGGAGATGTTTATGGATGAAATGGAGACTTACTACAGTCACTGGGTTGTCTGTAGGGACTGTCGTCTGTGTGAGGTGAGGAGTCCTGCAGGGAGCTGAGGGGGTTGCTGATTTTCCTTTTGTTCCTAAGACACATTTGATCATGGTTAGCTACACGCACATGTAGTTTTTTTTTTTCCTTTTTTAAAATCAATCAAGGGGCCGCTCAAGAGTGTGGCTGAGGACCACATGAGGCCCGCGGGCCACCAGTTGCCCATCTCGGATAATATTTATATACATGATAATATATTTTTAATAATGAATGAATCGCAATTTCAGTCAAAATGGATATTAAAAAGTCCAAACATGCGACAGGTGAAAATGTCACTCACGCTTGTCTAGTGCTTAATACACGCAGTCATCATCAGTTGTGACTACTACAAAGAGGACTGCTTCTTCCTTACCGTTTTCCCTGAGGCACATATTCCTGGAAGGAGAAGATCTGCAGAGGAGTCTCCTGGCGCCGCCTGCTCCGTACGTACATCAAGTAGGGCTCGCCGGGCTCCAGGGAGCGGCACGTGAGCTCCAGGTTGTGATACCCCAGAGGAACCGGCTCGGTCTGTTGCCGCTGGTAGTAGAACATGTTGACTGTGACCTGCCGGACGCATGGGGACCGCGTTAGAGTGAGGAGATGTTTCCACGGACGTGATAGCACCGACCTGCTTGAGGACCGTGTCTCCCTGACAGATGAGTTTGCGGGTGTGAGAGATAATTCTCTCCTTGACCTTGACTAGCTCATCCTGGTGGATCTTGGCATCGTGCACGCACTGTCTGTAAAATAGCTCGGACTCCGTCACCTTGAGCACACAATAGATAATATTAAGTGCATCCAAAAACGCACGGAGGAATTTTCAGGATGGCTGCTCTTGCCTTCGTCTGAGCTTCATCCTTGGACTTCCTCCTCTTGTCCAGAGTTTTGATGCCACCTGGATCGTCCACAGTTTTGGCTGTGATAGCTTTGGCCTTCTCCAGCTCGTCGCAGCGCTGGAAGTATTGCTGACGAGACTTTTTCAGTGCAGTCACCGCTTCATTCTGAGCAACACAGAGATAGAGCATACATAAAATATCAGATTGAATTTGGAAGGAGCTGAAACGGGCTGCCATTTTGGACACCATTTTGTTGTGTATTGAAGTTGAAGTGAATTTAAGATAACATTGTGAGGGAAAAAAAACATGGGTGGAGGATGCATGGCTCAGTGGGTAACGGGATTCGAATCTCAGTCAGGGTGAACGGAAACAGTTTGACTGACTGCTGCTGCTAAACTAGGAAGTAGTCCTCATTCACTTACCATCTTCCTCTGCTCCTTCACCCACTGCTCTTTGAATTCCCGCCGCCACTTATCAATTTCATTCCTTTTGGCAGCCAAGGCCTTTGGGAACAGGAGACGGTGGATTAACAACGGTAACCTTCAGGAGACAACACGATGGGGCTCTCTCGTAGCTACGCAAATGTTTACCTGGTAACAGCGGTTTTGCACAAGGTCCGAAGTCTTCCGAGAGTTCAAACTGTTCTTCAGGTCTTCTTCGAGAGCCATGGTGTAGATGTACTGTAGTGGCATTGATTCCTAAGCGAGAGGAGACAACTATGGATTGTTTCTTCGCAGCACAGGAAGAAGCAAAAAATAAATAAATAAATTGTGTACCTGTGCTGCCAAATTAGCTTTTGCTGCTTCAGATGTCTTCATGACATTTTTGGCAAATTCTTGTTCTGTCAAAAATCAAAATCAAACATTTTAATAGTTGCAGTGGAATGTGATGATTAGTATCATTTTAGCACATTTGACACACAGCAGTGAGCAGAGCGGTGTGGGGCATGGCAAAAATCGTGCACATCCAAGGATAAAAAAAAAAAAGTATGGAATGAAGAAAGCATATTTTAAGAGACTTTTTGTCATTGCACTGGTATGTGGGCAATTGTTTGGCCACTTGCGATAAGACCTTTGAGTTCCATTCATTTGATATAGTTTCATGATGACTGAGCGATTTGTGCCAGTGTTTGTTCTCCAGAGGCAGCGTGTCACTTCTCACAAGCATGCTCCACTCTTCTTAATCTTCCCTGACAAATCATTTCTGCTTGTGAAGCATCCAGCAATCATTTGAATTTGAGATGAAAGAAGAAAAAAAACAAAAAACATTTATCACATTCGTCACTCTGTTGCTGAGTCACAATCTGATGGAACCAAGTGAGCCGGTCCCAAGCTCTCTGGCTATTTATATCTAGCTAGCTAGTTAGCTTTATATCTAGCTATCTAGTTAGCTAGCTAGATAATTATAACTTGAGATAAGAATGACCAGACCTATGTTCTTTGAGATACGAACTCTCTGGCTATTTATATCTAGCTAGCTAGCTTGTTAGCTAGCTAGATACTTATAACTTGAGATAAGAATGACCAGACCTACGAGTTTTTTGAGATACGAGCTGTCGTTCGGCTGATTTTCATTTATTTTTATTTTTTTCCTTGACTTTTATGATACAACTTAACTCCTGAAAGCGATCCGCATTTTGGGAGATAGTTAACAATTCTTTCACGTTGTGTATTCACAAAAAATTTACAACTTTTCCTTAAAATCTGAGGCCCTAATGCTGACCCACAAGGGGCAAAGTGTGACCTGTCTGTTCTTAAATCGGGCCCGATGACCATTTTACATTCTTGACAATCCTGTACCATTTTTTGTTATTAATTTTTATTTCTTTAAAAATTACGATTCATTCATTAACCTCATTCAGTAACTTGTTCATTGATTTTTTTAATGTAAACAATACAACAGAAAATGCTGTAAAATTGTTCCACATAGACATCTAATTTATTTAAAGTCAATAAAAAGTGAATTAATTAGGGCAAAATTATCTCATATACAAGTTTAACAACTTCATTTATTTACATATCCAGCCCATGGTTTGAAAATCAAACAGCCAGTTGTCCCACTGTTTTTGTCCACATACGGCTCTGTTCCCCGCCACGTACTCACCCAAGTTGAGCTTCTTCTCCATCCAGGCCAGGAGGTCTTTGGCGTAGCGACACCACATCTTGGCGTACTGCAGGGCCGTCTCCACACCATCCTCACAGCGGCATAATGCCAGGTCGGCCTCGTGGGCTGAGAAAGAGTACATCAGCATCGCGGCGGGGCTCGAAAAAAAAAAAAAAAAAAAACACTCCGAAAAAAAGCCCACTCGGAAGGCTGGGGGATCTCCACTCAGGGAAGCAATTTATAGTTTCCAGAAGGTGTCGCTATGCTGTTGACTTAGTTGCCCAACATAAAAAAAGTACTTTGCATCAGGTAGATGACACAAAAATGTTTGAAATTAGTCTGACGGGGCATTGACGCGGCAATCCGCCCCACTCATTCCTCACCCCCCACTCCTTGTAATTCGTCCTCAGCGATTCACACAATGTGAAGGACGATCACACGGCTTCCTGACCTCCAAACACTCTAACGGAATCCAGTCAGAGGTCCAAACATGTCCCCCAAAAAAGTATTCACTCTGCTTTCGTCTCATTTAGAAATCAATATCTCAAGTCGATTGTGCTGTCGGAGAGGTGAAGGATTAGCTCAAGTGAACTCGGATTGCAGGCAGTGACGAGCTTCTCAGGTTGGCCACCTGCCCAGTAACAGTTTGGACATGGCGTTTAAAGGGCTGATGGGTAATTAATGCCGGCCAATGGGAGCAGGGTACACACAAAAGGCTGCCAGAGTTCATTTTCCTTGGGCTCACTTGAAATAATCCACAAAACCAGGAAGTCTGCAGTAATATATTTCTGTATTATATTGTGAAACTGTGTAGTATGGATGAGTATGCCAACACTACGAAAAATAAATACAAATTACAAAATGCACAATTTTATGCTCCAACCCCATTGTATATTATTTTGAAAAGTCAAGTCTCAACAAAAAAAAAAAAGAAGTTTGAAATCAATTGGGTTTTAACCCTCTGAGACAAGGGTGCAAAAGTATGACACCCGTAAATGTGTAAAAATTGGCCAAATTGTACATTCAAAATTTCATAGACCACTTCCTGTAGATGAGTCGACCACGTGCCGTCGATTCTAAACATTTTTAAAAAAGTAATATGTAAATCCACATGGGACGATTTTATCATCAATGGAATCCTTCTTTCCTCCACGGATGAATAACATCTACCACCTTTCATAAACAAAAATAAGCACAACAATGCAGTGTTGCATGATAAAACGGTGGCACATGCAGCACAGAGACTAAACGCATCTTAACTGTGCGAACAGCAGTGACTCAAACACTGTTGAAGGGGAAGCGCTGTCGGTGGTGCAGACAGATGCAAACATGGAGCCAGAGGTTGACCACAAAAAGAAAGTCAGCAGTGAGACGCGGTTTGGAACTAAATGCTGTCACGCGCTCGCCACCTTCCAATTGCAACTGTGCGGCTTTTCCACACTCCCATTAGATCTGCTTATCTCCGGCCGCGCTCTTGCAGCCCTCTGCAGCGAAAATGCGCCGTGTGTAAATGTAGTCGTTGCTTTTCTTGGCCTTCTGTTTGTGTTTGCAGCCAGCAGACCTGCAGGCGTAACACCTCGCTGGGAAAAAGAGGCCAGCTGGCTCCTGCTTAATCTGCAACCTAATCTTGTTACCGCGCGGCAATTACAACTCAAGGCAAGATACTGTATGGAAACAGGCAACAGGAAAAAGAAACTTGTGGAACGAAGGGACAAGGAGAATATTTTTGTGAACGCAAACTAATGAGAGTAACAATTTCCCATATCAGAAATAATAAATCAGAAAGATGCCTTACCTGATGAGTTCCCATCACCTTCAGTGGTTACACAACGCTCCTAAGAAGAAAATCTAAATAAATACATGTATTCGTATAAATAGAAATACACACACACACACACACACACACACACACACACACACACACACACACACACACACACACACACACAATTTTTTTTTAACAAGCAAAAGCAATAAATGAGTATTTTAATAAACAATGAGATTTATCATAAGTCCATAAATGTTTTGTTCTTATACGTTAGCCAGATGCCAAAGCTTGGACTTACAGATTGTTCGTGCTGCTCTGCGATTTCTGGTCTCTCTCGAGTGATGCATTCGAAAGTGTCGGACAGCAGATCGTCCTTGTCACTGAACAGAATTGAAATACACGTTCATGTTTATCCAAGTATGGATATGACATCAAAACAGACTTTTGGAGTTCAATAAGGGACCAAAATATTAGAGCCAGCACCTATCTCAGTGAAAACTATACTAGCGCATGCACCATAGATTGTTGTGACAGAGCTGTGCATATTTTTAGCAGAGTTCACCCTTTGTTTGACTCTTACTAAAGTGGTGGTTCGTAGTCTGAAATAAAATTAAAAAAAAAAAAAGTTTCAAACAATTGCATCATTCCCGCTCAGGGCAGTGATTAAATCTATTTTGAGAAGAAAAAGCTTAAATTTAACACACTTCACTGACAGGGATGGAGCAATTCGTACTGTACTCACAGGGTTTATTTATTTTTATTTTTTTTGTAAAAAGTGAAAAAAGAAAGACTTTTTCCACCATTAATGAGACCTATATAGCCTGTACAACTCTACTGAAAATAAATAATTTTGAGACGGGGACAAAAACAAAAAATCTTGTTTGCAAAAGTGTGCACACCTGCTTACAATGGGATGTGCAGCTGTTTCGAATTGACCAGACACATTCAAACTCATGTTAAATTGAAGTCAGCACACACCTGCCACCATTTAAAGTGCCACTAACAAACTTCAGATAAATTTCAGATGTTCGAGTAGGATTTTACAGACATTTGTTTGTTTTCTAGCAGAAGCTTGAATGTTTGGCACATACTGTGAGCTCTTTGGAACTGGTCATAATTCCTTCCACCTTCACTAAGGCCTCAGTTCCATCCGAAGAAAAATAAACACTGCCACCACCAAGCCTTTTTTTGTGGGTATGGCGTTCTTTTGTTAACGCAAAACCTTCAGGCGTCTGCTAGAAAGCAAAGAAATGTTAGGAAAAGCCCGCTCGAACACCTGAACTTTATTTGGGGTTCAACAGAAGCACATTAATTGGTAGCTGTGTGTTGACTCCCATTTCACAAGTTTTTGAATGTGATTGATTAATTCTAAACACAGCCACATCCCAGTATGTAAATTTTGAAATGATTTTTCTTCATGGTGCGGTTTTATACCACAAAATAATGGCATTTGAACAATAACTTCTTTATGACCAAAGTAGTTACAGTATGTATGCGAAAACTAGCACTTACATGGGGATAAAAGATAACTCGAGGTTGTCAAACTCTCTGAAGATCTCGCTGTATCGCTTGATTTCACATTTCTGCGGCGCTTTGACGATGTCTGAAATGAAAAACCGAAACGTTAAGGAGGAAAAAAAAGGAGTCGGACTAGTGATGTTTTTCCATCTTCTGTTAGGTGTGAGATTACGCATTCTGTACATCCAGACACACAACTTCCTTCTGAATAGCAGAAATGGGCTCACTGCAGGTAAAACCACAACATTATTGCAGGGAAATGAAAAGCTATAAAACCAACAAAGAGGTCATCAAATCATAACCTTCACATGAAAGCCACGTTACACTTTAAAATTAATCTCAAAACGGATGGGGGGGACTTGCATGTATTGGCTAAAATATGATTTAAACATTTAACTGGCGCGACAAACGAGGACGAGACACACGTCTGCTCATTGGCCAACCACATCCTGTTTGCAGTTGGTGCCCTGACACAGTTCTGCATTCACAATATGGTATATCTCTTTATCTGAAAAAAAAAAGTGCAGAAGGTAGAGATCGAGCTCACCTCAGATTGCTCAAACCCCCACTAACTAGCTTAATGCATTTAATATCTGTGTCGTATATTGACTCCTTTTCATCACATGAAAACGTGGATTAAAAAAAAAAAAAAAAAAAAAAGCATAAGGTGAGGCAGACAGTAGCCTGCCTCACTCAAGGGGCACAAATTGTCAAATCAGGTGCGCAACTACAAATTCGCTCATTTTGATAAAAAAATGGCTCCAAATGAAAGCCAGACATGGAAGCCAAATATTGAACATTTCTCAAAACTGGACGACCCAGAGAAATGGGATCTATTGTATTTGCTAAAGCGAGATCAATGCCAGAGCTTTTCAAACCGGGAGCTCGACTTGTCAGGACTGGACTATTAAAATTCATTTTTTTTTGCATACCACTTATTCAATGACTATATAAATGTGACCATGATGTCAGTGCCTCACCAGCCACCCACTGGTTTGTAGGTCCTCGATATGTTATTGCTATAATAAGGAGCGCCACACTTATTTTCGACACACTGCTTTTTACACATTAGATGGGATGGCATAATAATTTTGCCATTTGGTTTTCTTTTTGCACAGGTACAAGACTTCACTGAAAATGGGTGCCTCCAACCAAAATGGCTGATTTCCTGTTCAGTTGCGGGCATGGGGTACTTGAGACATTTTTTGTGCGCCCTGTTAAGACCTCAATTTTGTGTTTATCGGTGAGACTGGTGTCCAGGGTTAATTTTTCCAACTTCCCAGGGGGCGCTACTGAGTGAGTTTTGGAAATTCTTGTCAGGGAGCCCTCAAATAAATCCATTTCCATCATAGCAGAAACATTTTAGACCATTGCTGTTCAGATCACTCCTAACAGCTCAAAAGGAATTACTACAATGATTAAACAGCATTAACTCAGCCAAAATAGATTTTCAGGAAGTTAGTCCAGCTCTGACAAAGAGGATGTTGCCGAGCGCAGCGCAAAGAGAAGACAGCAAAGTATGACTATTTACCACACGGATAAACATCCCGCAATGTCATAATGAGCATTCGAATTGAAAAATAGCATCTTTCCACTCACCCGGGGCCTGAGGGGACTTACGACCCGACTCTTGATCCTCTTCCATCTTCTACACCTGCAGCAGTTTGATCTCGGACCTCAACGCCACGCGCACATCACATGACCGTCGTGGTCATGCCACACGGGAAGCCTTCCCAAAAGGGATCGCAGGCACGTCGGTTTGAGACGGCCGCTGACTGCATCTTCCTCTCGTTGCAAAAGGCGAGTTTGGCCTGCGGGTGTAATAGGAAGAGGAAGCGCAGCTCGAGGCCACACCTATGCGAAAGCACTTGCGTGTGAGATGAGACGATACAAAATACGACATCTAGCGATCAGTCAGTATGCAAATTCAAGTTTTATTGCCGTCTCTGTGGCGGTGAATCGCTCAACACACATGCAGTGAAATGTTGTCGAAGTGAGTGTCTCGTGAACATGCGGATATTAACCCTTTCAGGGACAGCGGTCCTATAGTGGACATCTTATCATGTTATGAGGTTACAGGGTTAATGATTATGATTTATAAGGGCGGTCTTTGGGTGTGAAATTGTAAGGTGCGCTAATTGCAAACTTTGGAGGGCTACAGACAGTATAAAGCCCACGAGCCAGAGTTTCCCCACCCCTGTACTCACATTGCTTTCTTAAACAGCAAAAGCAATTATGTAATATATTCAGCTATGTAAGAAAAAGAAAAATATGGACACAGCTTAGTAAAAAAAAAAAAAAAAAAAAAGTAAATTAAATAATGACAATTTTAGTAAAGAAATTGTAAAAAAAAATGTACTTAGCATTATTTTAAAAAAAGAAAATTTTCGACTCGGCATAGAAAAGAGTGAGAAAAATGTTCAGAAATAAAGAATAAGACAGTCAAAGAAATAACTCATCCAAAAAAAAAAAGAAGAAAAACACAGTCAGTTTAGTTTTTTAAGAGAAACGAATTCAGGTTTGTCAAAGAAGGAAAATGTGCGTGCTATGTTAAAGAAATGAAGGTGCTCGTTACTGTTAAAAAAAAAGAAGAAAATTGGAATAATCTTAGTAAAAGGCATACTACTTTTTCATGGAATTAAAAAACATTACTTTAAATGAGTCAAATAAATAAAAGAAGACTACCGGTACTCATCTTGATTAATAAAAAAAAAAGAGTAGAAAAATGTACTCCATGAAGTTAAAAAAAAGAAAAATCTACTCATCTTCGTTAAAAAAAAAAGGACAGCAAAATTAAAAATAATTTAATTAGGTTAGTCAAAAAAATGAAGACGAAACGCACTCATCTAAATAAAAAATAAGCAAACATACTCATCTTAGTAAAAACAATATCGGGAAAAATGTACTTGGTTTAGCAGAAAATAAAGACAAATGAGCAGTCAAAGAAAGAAAATATTACTGAAGAAAGTGTGTTATTCCAAGTAAAAAAAAAGTTAAAAATAAAGAAAAATGTGCTCATCAAAAAAAAAAAAGAAAGAAAAAATGTAATCACGTTAGCAGAAAAAAATTGTACTCAACTTAGTCAAAAAAAAAAAAAGTATTATACTGATCTTAGTGAAAAATAAGATCAGGTCAGTATTAAAAAAAAATACCCATGTCCTTCGCTTATGTAAAAAAAAAAAAAGTAGCTAGTCATTCTGGCCACCTGGGCCACCATCAGAGTTATTGTGTGACTTTCAATAAACTAACTTTGCAAATGTCCAACAGGATTTCTCAGCATCTCTTTGGCAGTCCACACGCTGCTCTTCTTGGCGGATAATTACACACGCGTGCCTCAAGTGACGTCAAAACTCCACAGACGGACTTAAAGTGCACGTTTGTTCTGCGAGGATCAAGTCATGTCGCGAGTGAAAGCTATTTTCTTTGTCTTGTCATGACTTCCCAGTGGTTAAAGTCACCCCAAAATGGGGGTTGCATCTCCAATGCAATACATAGTGTCATTATAAAGTCTTTAACGTGCTGCTATCACCCGAGTAAAGACACAGAATAAGTCGAAAAAAAGTGACATCCCGTCTCATTTCAAGAGCCTTCAATCAAGCCGCCGCGGATAAATGACATTTCTGTGTGTGTGTGTGTGTGTGTGTGTGTGTGTGTGCGTGTGTGTGTGTGTGTGTGTGTGTGTGTGTGTTTAGATGTGTTTGACGTGCATCTGTAAATACTTTGCTGGTGAAGAGATGAGGCGCGGGCGGGCGGTTTGTCTCGTCGGCAGCCGCCCGCCCAAGCTGATGTGGCGACGTGGAAATTGCATAAGTGGCATTGGAGAACACCAAAAGGGATGTTGAGGACCGATGAAATACGATGTGAGGCGTCAGTTTCTTTCTTGACAGCATCTCAAAGACTTAGCGTGGCATTTTTGGTGCTGGTGCTTCTGATTCAATCCGGATTGAATGATATTATTCGGAAAATTTTGGTGAGGGGGAAGGGGGAGCTGCTACGATACTTTCTGAAGGAATGTTTCCGTTTGGCCACGCCAGAGAGGAAGACAAGCAGAGGTGTGAACCCGTTTACTAGACTGAAATCCTGATTCACAGTGTAAACGTCACCTTAGGATAACCAATGAGATAGAAAGCTTCTTTTCTGTATGACAGACACACGCTGGGTACTGCAAATGCCATCCCGTGTGGCAAGTCTAGTGCCTTTTCCATGAGCATGTCAGAACACAACATTTTTTTTTGACTGTGATGCCAAAGCATAAAGTGTCAAATTACAAAACAAAAGGGGTACTTTTTTTTTTTTTTTTTTTGAGCGAGTTTGTCTTACAGCTCATCCCGTGCCGTGCTGTCCAACGGCGACTGCAACACGTCCGAGTTCTGAGCTTCGGTGCTGAGCTGCCCCTGCTCGTGAGTTTTACCCGAGCGTCCTCGGTCCCAGTCCGTGCGGATCTTGTCGTTGTCCCACACGGTGGACGTCTCCGTGTCGCTGATGTAGCCCGAGTCGCCTGTGTAATGGGTGGGGTACACCAGGAGGGGCTCCGCCGAGAAGGCTTTCAGGTCGCGCGTTTCGAACTGCTCCATGTAGTCAGTCCTGGGAGGGGTGGGGAAAGGTCCAATTTGAACAAATAAGCATAAAATCTATCCTCTGCCAGTTGTTCACCCACAGTAATATTTGTGCAGCGCTCATGGAACCGACAAACTAAACGGTGTTCGAAAACAGTTGTTTGTTTACATTCAAATGTGTATGATGTCATCCAAGTTATTACAGTCTTCCATCTTGGTCCTTGCTTCATCAACGGATGAATGAACGAAATGAAAGTTGATTATGATGTCAGTGAGCCAACTGAAAAATTCGGCAAAGGGATCACATCTGTGTAAAAGTGTAAAACTCACTTACACTGGATGTTTATTGTACATGATGGGGAGAAACTCATCCACCGGCAGCACCCGCTTTAAAGGCTCAGCTCTTAACAGCTTCTCGGCTCCCTGCAGGGATATCATGTAACCCAGAGTCCAATAGGAATAGTCGGCTTCCACCAGGTTATGGATGTTGGGCACCGCTTTCTCCGAGTGGTCCACTTGCATTCGCTTGCGGCCGATGTAGCTGGCAAAACAAGAGCGAGATTCAGAATCCGGGCACACATGTCATCTACTGAGTTTATTTGGATCTCCGATTGAAAAGTTTCCCCTCACAAAATTGCTGACTTGTGATTAAAAGTCTTTGAGGGTCGTGGGGGGTAAAAAAAACGTAATCACGCTCACATGAGATCCCAGTCGAGTCCCTCGTCCTCGATTTCATTCATCAGATACATGAGACGGCGCTTGAAAAAGACCTCGAAGCGCAGGTCGTCTTCGATCACCAGAGAGGTGAGCAGGCCGCGCTCGACGATCTGACCACAAATTCAGAAATCGCAATCAGAATGTCCACGGATGACGTTGATGATGGTCATATCACGGTTGATTGACTGGGTCATGGCTTGCTGACCTCATTCCAGATGTTATAGTGCGAAAGGAAGCATCCCAGCTCTCCTTTGGTCAGCGGGCGGCCGTGATAAGGGTCGCTGTACCCGGGGAGCATGTGGATGCCCATCGCCTGAACGTCACTGATATTCAAAGCCCTTCGAGCAGACAAGGGGGGGAAAGAAATTTAGTTTTCGTGACTTCGTTTTTGTTAATTGTAATAAACTGCTTCTGACCAATCCTGCATGTACTGTACCAATTTAGACTCACTTTCCGTCGACAGCCTCAGTGACCTTGCAGTCAATCTCCTGCTCGTGGAGAGCTCTCAGCATGCGCTCCCTGCGGTCAGTGCGCCTCCGGAGGTTGATCATGAAGACCTTGCCGCACAAGAAACACTCCTTGCAATTGCACATTCCGAACCACAACAGCTAATAAAGGAGTTCGGGAGTAAACGCTATTAAGGTTAACAAGTACTGCTACATCGATGCTAGTTTTATTAGCCTGCCTATGGCATTTAGGATTGCGTGTTTGCATTAAGCTAGCAGACTTTCACAATCCTCTTCGTTCGAGGTACAACTCTAATTGAGCAGGGAAGCATGTTGAGGGACAAAATTGTCCTCGCTTACCTCATCGAAGCCCAATTTATCCGGGTGTTTAGAGGGAGCAGGAATATACTTGGACGGCAGTACCGGGGGATGTCGTACTACAGAGACAGCCAGTGCTCCTGTTAGTTGTCCGTTTAGCGCAGCGAGCGCAGCAGACTTGGTACTACTCACTGTTCACTTCCAGCAGGCAATGCATAAAGCTCTCGGCTTCGTCTTGCAAGGTATTGTGGGCGCGCAGCGGCACGGGGATGTAGCCGTATATCTCTCGGTTGCACACGAACATTTGCACGTCTGTTTGTGGGCAGAGAATGACACAGTTAGCGTAAAACAATGAAAGCAGAGTGCACAAACCGTAAGAAGCACACTTTGGATATTTTTAACTTGGCCCATCTCTGTGCGCTTGGAAAAAAAAGACATTTAATTATCCATCTGAAGTGAGTGTGTGAACGTCACAATTGAAAAAAAGTTTAGGAAAAAAAAAATGGGCATTTTGTGTACTTGGCCTTCACCTGCCATCCGAGCCGAGTAGGCGAAGACGATGATGTCATCGAAGGCCCAGTTGTACTCAGGGTGCGGCGGATGAAAGGCCAGCTGCCTGGACGCCTCCTTCCGCAGGTCTATCAGGAAGGTGGAGTGCACCATTGGCACCGCAAAACAGCCCTTTCGCACACGCTTTCTCATAGGGATGTAGGCCGGGGTGCGCTTGTAGTAGCCCTGACGAAGAAAAACGGGGATCAGTCCACGCGCGCTCGTCATTGTTGTCGTCGTCCAAAAGAAGAACGTGGCGAGAACCTGGCTGGTCATCCCACACCAGAAGTTGGAATAAGCCGC